GGGTGGAACACCACCAGCCAGGACCCACTAGGGAGCACCACCAGCCAGGACCCACTAGGGAGCACCACCAGCCAGGACCCACTAGGGAACACCACCAGCCAGGACCCACTAGGGAGCACCACCAGCCAGGACCCACTAGGGTGGAACACCACCAGCCAGGACCCACTAGGGTGGAACACCACCAGCCAGGACCCACTAGGGAGCACCACCAGCCAGGACCCACTAGGGTGGAACACCACCAGCCAGGACCCACTTGGGTGGAACACCACCAGCCGGAAGCCACTAACGACCCTGAGACCAGAGGGGTCAGGGCTGGAGACAGTAGCCACAGGCTCCAGGAGGGCCCAACACAGCGCAGGGCCTGCCCTCAGGAGCTGTGGGCACAGCTACACCACTGACAAACAGCTGCCCAGCAGCAGGGGAGATGACAGTTTGGTGTCATCCCTCTCCCAACTCTGGATTCACCCTGGGGCTTAAGCCAGTTCCAGCTGAAGCCAACCGGGAGACACACAGCGAGAGGCCGCGAGTATAATCCGCCAGGTCTACAGAGCTCAGAGGGGGCAGAAGTGGGTAGAGGAGAAATCTGGTGGGTGAGACCAGATCATTTCCACCACTCTGGCAGTACAGATGCTTTTAGCCATCCGAAACCACTTCAGACCCGCCACCTCAGACTCTGAAACTACAGGACCGCAAGTTCAGGTATAAAACTTTTAAAACTGTGCACAAACTGAATTGTACGTGAAGAAAGTCTTATCAGGACATGGTAAGAGCTAGAGGAACACCAAATAAACATCTTTGCAAAACAGCTGCTTAGTGCCCAGCACAAGAGCTGATCTCAGCTTTCCCGGTACTGCCATACCAGAACACCCCTCATCAACAGGACACCACCTACCATGCAGCCACAGCACCTGCACGCCGTTTGTTCCCTGCCCTCAACACCCCAGCCCTGCCTGGGCAGTCCAGCTGCACAATGTTCTTGTTCTACTCCCCTCATAAGCCATCCTCCCCGCTCGGCCTTTCCTGCTCAGCCACGCTTCAGACCCAACTCAAGAACACCACGGCACTCTACTCCCATCTCCATGTCAACCTGGACCCTCCTTCCATTCCCGACTCCTTCCCTCTAGGTCTAACAGCAACAAGAGCAAACAGTCGACTGCACCTTTGACCTTTCATCCCCGTGGTCTGCACAGCACATCCACACATGGGGCCCTAACTAAGACGAGATAAAAAATAGGATCAACAACCTTCACCCTTCTGCGGAGCCATTCTTGGTAAAATGATGGAATGGCTACTAACCTGAATCTGCTATTCTACTTTGTTTAATCGTTGGTCTTATACTATTACTTCTTAGTATTTTTCATCATGTTTCAGTCATGCAATGAAAAAGCCAAGCAAGTCAGTTTTGGGGGCGAGCCCTAGGAAGCAGGCCACTACTTAACATTGATATTTAGGAATAAACATTCATAGCTCCAAACAAAATTTTGGAAAACAACCATTCTAAGTCACAAGGTGTCTAAATATGTTTTCATCCAATGGCTGATATTAACCAATACAACAGCTTTTACTAGATGAAGTCTCCCTTTGGGGACCTTGGTAAGGCTAAGAATCTGGAGAAATATGGTATCCAGTAAGCAAATCTTTTTAACATTCAGTGTGTAGAAAATGGTCTTAAAAATGGAGAAAGATTTAAGAAAAGCAAATGATACAGCAGTTTGAAATAATCTGCCTGGAAATGAATGGACAAAAAAGGTTCCTATTTCTTACTCTGTAAACATTACAAAGATATCACAAATACTATGGTAAAAAGCATGCTTAAAACAGTGAATCCAAGTCAAACAATTAAGGAATCAAAATGGGCAGCAAATGAACTAAGCGTGTTTCAAGAGCACAATATAACAACAGAGGAAGTTTAATTACCAGCAGCATTAGGCCTAACTCAATCATTTTCACTGTGTAACACTAATAGTATTTGCTGCGCAAAGCACTAAACCTCTCTAGATTCACCTTCTTCTCCATAAAAGGAAAGAAAGCTGGATGAACTAAGTTCCTTTATAGTCAGAATTCACAAAAATCTCACCCTACGATTCAATTAATGTATTGGCATACAGGCTGCCAAAATCTTTTATGAAAATACAAGGCTGGGCTTGGTGGCCTGCACCTGTAGTCCCAGCTACTTGGGAGGCTCAGGCAGGAGGATCACTTGAGCCCAGGAGTTTGAGACCAGCCTGGGGAACACAGCAAAACCGCATCTCAAAAGAAAAAAAAAAAGGTTAGATCTTTCATTTTCAAGTATCAATATCCAACCACATTCAAAATCAATTTTTTCATTATTTACTATGGCAGTACAAATTATGATCCAATGAATAAGTTTATCAAAGTTTAGCTATTATATGAAGATAAGTCAAGACTTCTACCAATGTACTTCCTCCCAGCAATGTATTTAAGCGACTACAATACAAACTCACAAATTCTGTTGACTTTCCCACTATAGCTTCATTCATCTTTATAAGCAATTTAGCACTAAATCCAGCTAAAACTTCTAATACTGAAGCTCACACAAAAAAGCAAATACAATCTACAATTAAAAGCAATTACCAATTATAGAAAAGTTTAGGCCGGGCGCGGTGGCTCAAGCCTGTAATCCCAGCACTTTGGGAGGC